GTATACCACTCCATATCTATTAGGAATGTTTGTGCAAGAAGTGATAGATAGCCCAAATATGGAGCCTTAAACAAACATGGGTTTGTTTTTGTTATATAACAAGAAGGCTCTGATGAGCACTTACTGGTGCTAGTTGAGCAGCTCAGTGACGTGACCCTGAGGCGCTGCATGTTCTCTTGGCAGCTCCAGTTATCACATCTGAGTTCCAACAAGAAGCGAAAAGAGAAAGGAGTATGAAGAAGGCAACAGGCTTCCCAGAAATCTCACAGCTGACTTTTTCTTAAATGTCATCATTTAGAACTCTTCTACGCAGTTCCTTCAACTGAAAGGTGGCTGGGAGTGGGGATTAAGTTAACCAATAATACCCACACACTACATTCTGTCTATCTAAATTATACTTTTTTTTTTCTCAAAGCTTACTTAAAATCTCACCCCCTTAATGAAAATTTCTTCACCTGCTGTTGACCACACACATCCCTAATTCCCGTAGATTTCCATTTCAATGATAGCAGACCCAGGCAGTATACCATTAATATTTTCATGCCCTGATATTTTCCATTTAATATTTTGTTTCCTTACATTTAAATATATGCTGAGGGCAGAGGCTATGCTGTAGTCCTCTTTTCTGTCCACATGGAACAGAACACAATGTTAGGTACATAACAGTTCTCCCTGTGATTTGGGGATGTAGACTCAGTGAAGCTCAAGTATGAAACAGGGAACCATTAATTTTTTTTTTTTTTTTGTGGTACTGCTGTGGCCTCTCCTGTTGCGGAGCACAGGCTCCGGACGTGCAGGCTCAGCGGCCATGGCTCATGGGCCCAGCCGCTCCGCGGCATGTGGGATCTTCCCTGACTGGGGCACGAACCCGCGTCCCCTGCATCGGCAGGCGGACTCTCAATATTGTGCCACCAGGGAAGCCCGGGAACCATTAATTTTAATTGTGTAATCCTAGCAAGAGAATTTATCTTTCAAGTTTTCCTTCCTCCTCTATAAATGTGAAAAAAACAAGTAACTCACAGGGAAAAATGTGAGAAATCAACATAATAAAATGTATCAAACATGATATGTGCCTAATATGCATTACTTTCCTTTATAAAAGCCTGATTATAGTTGATAATAGATACATTTTCTATTTAATATGATATGCTGAACTTACATTTTTGAAGACCAAAGACACAAAACTTTAGAAATTAATCCCTTTAGAATTTACTCTATGAAAAAAAAAAAAACTTTGTTTTCTTTAAGTTAAAATATATTTCATTTTCATTTAGCACTTAGTTCAAGGCTATTAAATATATATTCACTGATTATATTCATTTTGGATAGAGGTTTAGGCAATCATATCACAGCAATTTTAAAGATAATGTCTTTCATATGTATAGTCTTATTTGGTACAGTCAGAGCTCAAGGGGTCTTATCTGGAAGCTGTGTTTGCCAAGAAAACACATTGTTTTACTCACAGAGTATGCTTATTTGTGAGAGTGTGATAAAAATTATGATGTGGGGAGGACCTAAATCACTTCTCCAAGTCCCCGCTTAGTGCTGGCTCTATTTTATAGCCCTACATGATTTTGTTAGCGTGTTTTTTTTTTTTTCATTGAGATCTACTTTTTGGAAAGTTGCTGGAAAATGGTGAGTATGATCCAAATGTATCTATGGACTATTGGAGAAAAAATTAGCGAAAAGGTTTAAAAGAACTCTTTTTAAAGAAAACTATAAGTTCCTACACTTTAACAAAATGTCTATAATTTCCATTTAAATGACAGCCTGGAATAAGAAAAATGAAAACAAGTTTTAAAAAGTTATCAAGTTGGGTTTCCTTGGTGGTGCAGTGGTTAAGAATCCACCTGCCAATGCAGGGGACATGGGTTCGAGCCCTGGTCCAGGAATATCCCACATGCCGTAGAGCAACTAAGTCTGTGTGCCACAACTACTGAGCCTGTGCTCTAGAGCCCACAAGCCACAGCTACTGAGCCCACATGCCATAACTACTGAAGCCTGCACACCTAGAGCCCGTGCTCTGCAACAAGAGAAGCCACCGCAATGAGAAGCCCGCGCACCGCAACAAAGAGTAGCCCCTGCTTGCCCCAACTAGGGAAAGCCCTAGCACAGCAACGAAGACCCAACACAGTCAAAAATTAATTAATTAATTATAAGAAAGTTACCAAGTTATTAAAATATACATGAAAGTAGATGAAATATTATAATAACTCCTCATGTTTCATTATTTAATAGCATCAAAAACTCAACAGTTAGAGAATCTGGTTTCATAGATACTGTTAGTTATATGTTGCTACAAAAACAAACAAACAACAACAACCTAGTAGCTTGAAACAGTAAACATTTATCATCGCCTTTTCTGTGGGTCACAAATTTGGCAGCACCTTAGCTGGGCGGCTCTGAGAGTCAGTTGAATTTGCAGTCAGGCTGTTGGCGTGGACTGTGGTCATCTGTAGTAGGGTCAGGGCCACAGGATTCACTTCCGAGGTGATTCTCTCTCATGGTTGTTGGCAGGAGGCCTCAGGTCCTCAGGGGTTGTTGGCAGAAAGACTCACTTCTTCACTACATAGGGTTGCTGGAATGTCCTCATGACAGCCACTGTTTCCCCACAGAGCAGGATCTACAAGAGAGAGGACAAAAAGGAAGGCTCAATGACTCTTGTAACTTAGTGTTGGAAATCACACACTGTCATTTCTGCCATACTCTGCTTGCTAGAAGTAAGTCATGACACACATCCCACGCACAAGGAGAGAGGAATCAAGCTCCACATCTTGAAAGGAGGCATATCAAAGAATTTTTGAACATATTTCAAATATCACAATACATCCACCCACTTTCTACTCGCCATTCCAATTATTTTGAAGGAATTCCAGACAATACATCATTTCACCCACAAATTAAAAAAATCCAAAGCACAATTTCATTCTCACAACTAAAAAAGATAATTTTTAAAATGTCATCATATATCCAATGTGCTCAAATTTCTTTGATTTCTTTTTTCATAACATGATCACATTTGGTTTGATTTGTTTGAATCATAATCCAAACAAGGACCACCTATTGCATTTAACAACTTTTGAAGTGGTGTTAAATCCTCCTTTGATCATCCAATTTGAAATATACTTACAACCAGACAAAAATATAACATGGGGTTTTTTGTAAGTGGTCCCTTGAATGATACTCATTTATGGCTTTGTTTCTGCATTGCTTATTGTTCTTTTCACAAGGAACACTCAAGAAGCAAGGAACCAGATTTTCCTCAGTTAACTTTGAACCTGGAATTTGTGTTACTGCTTTGGTTATATTCCTAATAAGCCACTAGTGTACACTACAGGAACAAGTGGAAATGAAGACAGAGGTACGATGACCATTAATTATCCATAATCTATTTATCCTGAGGAGCACTTATGCACCGGTTACATATTTAGGTATTTGCTACTTGTAGTTTTTTCATGATTTTTGAGCAGAGAAGCATCTATACCTAAAGCACCATAAAAAAGGAAAAATGCTACCTTAAAGGGGCCTTTTTCCTTAAAAATGCTACCTTAAAAGGGGCCTTAAAGTAGCAAGACAAAGAAACTACAGCTTTTTGTGTCTGGGAGATGAATGGCTCCATTCATTTCAATAGGGATTTTGTTTTATACGTACTGTATTAAGTTTGGGCACTAAACACCTGACTCCCATTTCAGAATGTATTACTTTGTTAAATGCAGGTATGTAAACAGGATAAAGTACGTTAACTACTAAATTCCTCCGTAAGTACCTTTATCTTGTTTTATTGAATATTTTATAGTGTTATCCTCAGTTCTTTCTTTAATATTTGTATATGTATATATGTATGCGTTATACATATATGTGGGCTTATATATGCCATTTATATATAAATATGCATATGTTAAATTTATATATTAAAATAGCTCATAAAATTTGTCCTACAGTCTATTTTTTATTATATTTTTAAACTAATTATGGTTTTAGATCCCAATTTGCAAAAGTAAATTTTTAAGTATAATTCTAATTAATCTTCCATAAATGCTATTGTAAATGTAAAATGTTCAAAATAAAAAAACTGAGAAGTTCATGGCTTATTGTATTGTAGCTGTGTATGAGAAATTTAGATTTAATCATATATTGAAAATTAATCATTTATTTAGAAATATCTTAAACATTATTTCCAGGTGATTGTTTCTCCAATCAATGACATACCTACTTTTTCAAGAAAATACTAAATTCTTTTTCCTGATACTGTATTTTCACTCCAAGCATTTTACATTAATAAATGCTCAATTTATAAATTGCTACATTATTCATTATTATATGAATTTGCACAGTTTACTATGACAAACTTTCTGTAGCTGACTTTTGCCTGTTATTTGTTGAAATGGCAAGAATATAATTACTAATAAATTCAAACTACTGTTGAACTTTATTTCACAAGGCACAACCATTTATACCAAGAAATGTACACAAACAAGACTCCTATTTGCAGCTGGCATTAAACTTTGAAAGCAGTTGACTTTGTTATCTAGATCCAATTTTTAATGCTTACTGTTTTCTTTCTTTCTTTTTTTTAATTCTCAAACCACCAGAGGATGATTTCCTTAAGAATGTTCTCCCAGGTATGTTCAGAATATTAATTAGGCACATCTATTTCTGTGGGTAATAACAATGCCACAGGCTGAATGGACGCTGTGACCTGTGAAAGAACTATTCATATGATTTCGTCTGCCCCAGCGCATTCTTTAACAAGTGAACATAGACCTTTTTCACAGGCATCTCAAATGTTTCAACTCTGTGTTTCATGTTTGGCTCTTACATCCTAACCATATAGCTTTTCTGCCTCTTTTGGAGAAGACTTCCTTGCTCTACTTATTTAAATGTTTCTGCCTTTATGACTATTTACCGCCATATCTATGGGGCTTCTTACTGTATTTGCCTGTAACTGAAGGAGATTTTAAAGGAATTAAATTTATTCAGACTAAATCTTCTGGGGGATGCAAAGCCTTCTTAAACAATTAGCAATAATTAAAAAGCATCTATTCAGACTGGATAAAAGGTAAATAGATTTCATTTAAATATAGTAGTTAGTTGGTACAGTTTTCCCATTTGCATGTTCTTTTTTAAACCTCCTGTTGGCAAATAACTTTGAAATAACAAAAGAAAACATTGGTTTTTATCAGTTGGTATAATTTTTTCCTCATGAGTGCTATTAACAAATTGCTGAACTAAAAATTTTAATTATCTTTAATTTAGATGGTGCAACTAACACTGAATATAATAGGATGAGAATGATGTCTGAATAAAACCTAGATTTGCTTTTTAAATTTTTAATCCTAAATTAATGTGGAACTGGCTGAAAGATCTATGATTTTTTTGACTTCTGATATTTTCTGTAAGTTTTATTCTGATATTTATCTGCCTCAATGAAATATTTGCTTTGTATATGTTAAGGATGATATGTTTGTTTTCTCAAAGCCCTCCTTAAATTATTTCAAATTAGGACTTGTCTTATGGATAGTTGATAAGATAAATTAGATTTTTATTCAAACACATTTACAATAACCTGCTAGTATATATGTAAACGTAGTGATGCATAAAATTAGTCTTATGCTCATACATGTATATATGAGTACACACACATACCGATTTATACAAAAACAAATGTACTTAAATTCTTTTGCTCAAGAAATGCATAGTTTAGTAGATTAGGCAGCCACTTATATGTGTTTAAGGGGGCACCAAGGAAGGCATCTAAAATCTAACTCTATCACTTGATACTTTAGTGTTACAGTTTCATTCTTCAGAATTTTAAGTAAAACCATATTTTAAAAAATATGTTCAGTTAACATATTTTAAGAATGGTAACCAGACTGTGGAAAAACATGACATGGGATGAAATAGGCTGGGAGAGAGAGAAAAAGACATGAAGGACCATAGAAAATAATGAAAAAATGTGGCAGGCCAAAGATATATTTTTTCAAGGGCTATCCAGGCTCAGCCATTCTATAATAGTGAAAAATATGTGTAACGATTTTTGGTGCAAAAATAGCACCACTAAGATTAAAAGCAAGGTGTTATTGAGGTTAAGCTTACAGATTTAATCCCCAATAAAACATACAATTTCATTCATGTTCAACCACCTACTCAGCCATTTTGCAAATACATCATAAACAAGAAATTAAAAATAAAATAGAGGGAATGATAAAACCACCTCTGGAGGATTTAAAAAAACAAAATTAAAGGTAGACTCACTTTAGAGTGATGACTGGTTACACAGTCTCTAGGTAGAGAAAAGAGCACATTGCTTGAAAGTATTCTCAGCTTTTGGGAAACAAAATACTTTTTCCATAGTGATGAGTTGCAAAAAAGATAGACTTCAGTCAAAACAATATGTGTTTAGAAAATGGTTCCTCTAATACATTGTCTAAAGGAAATTTACCTCACCAAACATAAGCTTTTATAAGGAGGATAATAATGCACTCCTTAAGGGGTAAGAATTAAGTGAAGAGAATTAAGAAATAACCTAAGTGTAATATTATAATAACTATCTCAGGGAAATGAAACACTAAAATGTCTATGTAATTAGTCTCAGGTAATATTGCTAGACAGCAAAATCACTCTCTTTTAAATACAGAAAAATAGTACCCTTAGCAAGATATAATGAAACTTTCATGAACATAAAATATGACACAAAAATCAAATATAAGTGTTTAGATGATATTTAGAAACAGAATTCTAGGGCTACCTCAGCATGTAAAGTCCCTGAACTTTACCCTCACATCTGTAGGATGTATTCCTTTTCTGGCTGGCATAGAAGATTGTGGCGTACTCTCCTTTCCATCCTTCTCTTTGGTCCATCGCTTGTGTAACTTCTGGACCTTACCTGACTCACATCAGATGTACCTACCAAGCTGCACCAAGTTTGCCAGGAGAACCTTCCAGTCAAGTACCGTTTCATCTTTTGAAAACACTTGGCCCCCATTCCCAGTAGTTATTTCATTTCACAAAAAGCCTTATTAATAATTTAAAAATCAATGTATTTTTATCAAATAACTCTGCATTTAATAGTTTAGTTTTACATTCTTAACAATCTAGCACTTCTAAAATTTATATTAGTGGAAAAAGCACTTATGTCTAATTGTACACTGAAATCTATAATTTGTACTTGCAGATTTTGAAAATAGATTTAATGTGTATAGCTATCCAATAGAGTCTCATGCTATAATTTTTTTTTACATCTTTATTGGAGTATAATTGCTTTACAATGGTGTGTTAGTTTCTGCTTTATAACAAAGTGAATCAGTTATACATATACATGTGTTCCCATATCTCTTCCCTCTTGCATCTCCCTCCCTCCCACCCACCCTATCCCACTCCTCTAGGTGGTCACAAAGCACCGAGCTGATCTCCCTGTGCTATGTGGCTGCTTCCCACTAGCTATCTATTTTACGTTTGGTAGTGTATATATGTCCATGCCACTCTCTCACTTTGTCACAGCTTACCCTTCCCCCTCCCCATATCCTCAAGTCCATTCTCTAGTAGGTCTGTGTCTTTATTCCTGTCTTACCCCTAGGTTCTTCACGACATTTTTTTTTCTTAAATTCCATATATATGTGTCTTTCTTTTTCTGACTTACTTCACTCTGTATGACAGACTCTAGGTCCATCCACCTCATTACAAATAGCTCAATTTTGCTATGCTATAATTTTAAAAGAATAATTTTAATATAATACTCTATTAGGATGTGAGATTTTAAAATATAAATAAAAGAAATGCTAAAATTAAATTATTATCACTCAAGAATATGACAAAATAAAGCATCTGACTTAGAAAGTTTGTAGAAAATTACATGTAGAAAATTACATTTTTTAGTTTCATGGAGGAAACTAAAAAAAATAGTTACCATGCTCATGATTTTGATTAGGTAGAGATTTTCAAGCATCAGTTTATAAATAACACATACCTTAAATAAATAAAGTGACACATAAATTATTGGTTTGGTTATTGGTTACCAAATTTACCTCATTGTAGATGAAAAAAAAAATCATGTGAAATAAAACAAATACTTAGCTACTAGATGAGATGACTTTTGAAGAATGTTTGGAAGCCAAGCATAGAGAAAGTAACCATTTGAGGATATCCCATATTCTTATAAGCTTGGCTAGAGAATATTAGTTTGGCTTTTGGGGATTTCTAATATTACCGGTAACTAGCACTACTAATTGGCTATATAATTCCTGTGACTTTAGAAAGGCTTGCGCTCAGCTAAAATAATAAAATTTATTTTTAATCTAGAAGTTTCCCTAAAGAGATCTGTCCAAGTATGAAAAACCACAGCTTTATTAATGAGCTTATAATGACTTACTTTAATCAATGGTTACCATGATCCCACATCAGTAGTAGATCTCATTGTCTTTATGTCCAGTAACATGATTTAATAGCTGTATTCTGGAATATACAGATTTTTATACTATTTTTATTTTGCGTCCATTTAAAAAAAATACTATTAACGTTCTTGTAAGATAGATATAACACAATACAGATCATAATCCTAAAGATGAGGTGAAAAAATGAACATAGTGGCAAGATTGCTTTCAATATTACATCGTTCTTTTAAGGTCAACAGAGAAAGCTTACTTTTGATTGTAACTTTTTCTTCTGAATTTCATGAAAACAGGCTGCCCCCAAATGTAAAGAGATAATGTGGCATAAAAGAAAGACTTAAAGTGGAAATCCCAGGTTGTCATTTACTGATCCTATGATCTTAGGAACATTAAAGTCTTTAAACCAATTTTTTCTTCCCAAGACAGACCAATATTACTCATTTCTCTGACTCCAGGGAAATAAACAAGTTATTTAACTTCTGTATAACATGAAAAGTATATTTGTCTTGCAGAGTTGTTATGACTCTATAATAAATGAGGAAACTATAACTTCTTTTTTTTGAAAAAAAAAGGGGGTTACTCAGTAAATAGTTATGTAAAAAATGTTGTCATACTTTTCCTTGTTGATAGGACTCCAAGGCAAAACAAGTGTTTTATGCAGAGAGGCCCAATGTATAAAAATGTTTGGACTATCGTCAACCCAAAGAGTTCCCCTGAAGAGTCTATTCATTAGGTACCATTTCTGAAATCCTTGGAACTGCCCAAGGCTCTTGGCAATCATAGTTAGTTTCTCTTGTATATTACCAAAGAACTCTGAACTATAATTTAAAAATATAATTTACTAATGAATAATTTTGCAATGGTCTTACTCCATTCTTTACTAGTAATTCACATATTTCCATAAGATGTTACGGAAAAACCCGAATGAACCTTTGGCCAACCCAATACGGGAAAGAGCAGACTGTTGAACCTGAACATTTTGCCAGTCTGAACATAATGTGTCCTAAAGAGCTGGACATGGAGCCTGTGAACAATCAAATAAAAACAACTTGAAATTTCCCAGTAAAAAATAAAATCTTATATGTAGTCTATGAAAACTAATACATACATATAAAAGAAAATTTTAAACAGTGATAAATTCATATTTTGCCTTTCCTTTAAATTTTCATAAGAATGCAAAGAAATATGAATGCAGAACTTCTGCTTCTAAGTAATGTTGGAATAAGTGACTTGAACCAACCTCCCACTGAGAACACCTAGAAAGGCTAGATAAAATATTTTTTAAAACCTGCTTCAATACATGAGATAATTAAAAAAGCAGTGAGGACTCACAAGGCCACAGTTCAGGAAAAGACATATACCCAGATTGATGCACTATATTGGGGATTATCACCTTTGCATTAGATTCATCTGCCAAGAAGCTGAGAAACTAATAATCTGAGAAAAATTTCTACCAGCCTCCAAACTAGGAGGATCAACACTGTATTACAGCATCTGCCAGAAAACACTCTCGGAAATACGACTTTGAAAGGCTATTATCTAGGAAGAAGGGAACCTAAAAGTAGACCCTCCCTAGCAAGTACTAAAGCCTGAGGGCAATTAAGTTATTTTTGATTGCAAATGTTCTAGCCACCCAACAGATTTCATTTCATATAAATTATTGACCCTCAAT